GCTTCCCGCGCGGCCGTGAACGAGGTCCTGAAACAAACTGCAAACAGGAAGCGATATATTTCGGGGGCCGCGAATTTCCGCGCTTGGTGCGTGGTTATCCGGTCAATCGGGCAGCACAATAAACGCCAACTAATTTATCTTTATTTTCGTTGGCCGCGTCGCGGCGCGTCGCGTCGCCGGCAGCCTTCGGGCCTTCGGCTCGCCTTTGGCGCTAATGATACAGGGGCACGTCGTTAAATGAACGGGCAGTGGAGGATCGAGCGGCCAGCCCGCGGCCTGCGGCTTGCCTGTGGCTGGCCTGGCTCGCCGGACTGGCTCCGTTCCTTCCTTCTTTCCCAGGCAAGTATATATAATTTACAGCCGCTCATTTTGGCCATGTCCGGCCGGGCCAGCTCGGCGGCCAGCTCGGCCAGCGCGGCCAGCGCAGTGCGCCTAATTGTTCTCAATTTGGTAATCGAGTCTTTGGCGAATGTGGCAATTACGTCATCTGGGTCGGATCGTTCTTCGGCCGCCTCGCCCCTTTCTCTCCTAGGCGAGCAATTAGGGTAAAGTGCCGAACATGGATCGGGGTACCAAACATGGATCATTTCTGTTTGGGGGTCTATAACTAAAGACCAGGTGACCAGATTCTAAATTTCTGTCTTTCCTTGCTTAGACTGACCCTTTGACTGTTCGATGTGAAGCTGACAAGTTTGTAACTGCGTCTCTCTACTCTGCAGGGTTGCGTTTAGAAAGACACCTAAAACAGGCCCCCGAAAATCGATGGAAAAATGACGTTCAAAAAGGTGATTTTTGCACCCCTGATTCTGGGCCAAGCAATCACCGCAGTCACTTCAAAATTTTTCATCGTGCACTTTGGACAGACTAGTTTGATATTCTGGGACTACTGAATGCATACCTTGCTTTGTGTCCGTACGCTGGTGGGGTGATCCATGATTGGACCACCCTAACCTAACCTTAGCAAAAATAGCCATATTTTCTTGTCCTCACAACTTCCAAAGTATTCGAGTTAGAGGTACCATTTTTGGTAGCAATATGACCAGTAAGGTAAACATCTATATTAGATTCAAAAATAGTAGTCAACCCATCCTTAATTTCGATCTAGAGAAGATTATTTAAAAAGTGATCCATGTTTGGTAACCTTACCCTATTGGTCGGCCGGGCGGAAACTTTGGCAAATAGGAGGACGGGATTCGACGGGGCCGAGGGGTGGCGGGGCGTGGCGGGGCGTGGCGGGGCGCCTCCCTCTTTTGGACATTGTGTTTAGCCGTTCCCCTCTCGTGACCTGCACAGAGACCTGGAGGGACCTGGAGGGAGCGGCCAACACAACGGCGGATTTCAAGGCGACGTCACGCCATCGGTCTCCCCGTCCGTGACGTGCCCTGGGCCGCGCTAGGCGCGCTAGGCCCTCTAGCCCTCGCGCCGTGCTGGCCGTGCCTCAGGTAAGTACGCGCGCCTGCTCATCCTCCGCACGGCATGGGGCGTGGCGCCCTGGCCCCGCCCCACCCGGCTGACTGCAAAGCCGAGTGAGGCGGCCCAGGTCTCACACTGCCAATTTCGCAAATCGCGTCTCAAAGAAAAGCGCGCCGTCTGTTTTTCGCGGCCTCCCCCTCACCCCTTCCCCTCGCAGCCAATCGCAGCTTCCTGACGCAAGTGGGACTTCCCCGTTCTTACCTATCGTGACCCCGGCCCCACTGCGCTGGCCTGGCACTCTACGGCGTGGAGGCCCATTTATTAGGGCCGACTTGCAAATGACTGCACGAGCAGGCTGTGTCCTGTTCATGAATAATACACGTTCGGAGGGCCATGGGGCCGCGACGACGCCGACGTGCCATGGGGTGCGGCCCATGAGATGCCCCCCCCCCCTCGGGATGACGCCTCGATCTTTACTACGCCTCTCATTTCCCTAATCGTGTCTTTCACGGCGCCGGGAAGGATGTACTCGCTCAGCACGTTTTTAAATTTGGCTAGCTTTTCCTTTCATTTCCTGCCGTCTCCCTCCCTTTTTAACATTTGCATTTTTGAATGTGTTTCTCTTTGGGCGTAGTTTTTAATCCTTTCATTCGCCATTTCCAAAATTTTCACTTTTTATTATTTTTTATTTTAAAATTGTCGGTATCCCTTTTTCATCGTTTCATTTCATTTTCTTTCCTTCCCTTTTTCTCTTCCTCATTTTGTGTCTGTTTCTTTTTTTTTTCATTTTCTTTTTCACTTATTTAATTTGTTAAGTGTTTCTCTGCCTTGGCCACGTTTAGGACAGGATTGGAGCAACGAACACGCGAAGTCAGGTAATATTATGCTTTATTATACACACTTTTAAGATCACTTTATCACAGTCATTTAATAAAAAATAACATTCCAATTATAATGACTATTTAATAATGAATGGGATGCCTCACGCACCCATCCCTTATTTATCATCTCCCACTGCAACCGCCTTCACATACCTCTACTAGCTTACTTTGTAACCACTCCGAGCAAAAGCGAAAAAGCCTACAGAAATTCTTTCTCACTTTTATTCACACTCTACGTTGGACCTATCAGGCTTGCGAGGCCCCGAGGGGCCTCACCGTTTCGTCTTTGGGGTAGCACACTAAATACAAAAATAACCACTGATGGACAGACAAGAGACGCGACACAGATAACAAGCATCAATCAACCAATAGATAATTAGGGCTAGTGATTTCTGCATCTCATAGTACAGTATTATCATAAATAACGGGGTATACTGCTAGAAGTTCTTTTTTTTTGCCATGCACATTTTCACGAAAACATCAATAGCGTACAATTTAACTCCTATAAGTGACTTTTAGCGACGAATACAGAAGTGTAATACATTTTTCCACAAAGACCCATGCAGAGGGGATGATCCCCCCGTAAGTTTCTTAAGTTTACATAAAACACAAACTATTACTAAAAACCCATTTTTTTTGTGTTTTGCGTACATTTTTACAACCTCATCATTTCACATTCGAAAGTTCCGTGGTGAGTTCTCAAAAAACCAGCATCGCAAAAAATATGCTTCCAATCATTTTTTTCTCTGTGTATATCTTGTACGGCCCCTAAGATATAGGTGCACTCACACACACGACAACAGTGGTGCGGCCTAGTCCAACACATCGCTCCCATCTCCCTCCCCCCGTACTTTTTTTTAAGTCTTGATATCATTTTGGAGCCTTTCCTCCAGTTTTCACGTTGTCTCCGCCGCCCAGCCACCGCGTATGGCACATCGGTACGTAGCTGGGCGGCTCAGCGCAGTCAGTCTTACAATGAGAAGTGCGGTAGAGCGGCCTGCTTCGTCTCGGGCCGCGGACGAGTACTAAAAGGGTCCCGAAGGACACCCGCAAAAAGGGGCCGAACCGAGCCGTCCCCGATTGTCACTTTCGCTTCAAGTACTACTCGCCCGCGGCCCGGCCTAGCCACCCGTCTCGCCTCGCTGCCGCACGGGCCTGGCGGCTGTCGCGGCGCGGGGCGGCGGGGAGGGCGGCCCGACGCGGGGGTCGCGCGACCCCGGCCGGCGCCTGCCCCCCCTCGCCGCGTCGCGCCACCGGCCAGCCGCGCACCCATTCGCTTTGGAATTGTTTGCAGCAAACCACAGAAAAGAGAGAGAAAAAAAAAAAGATTTCGCCTGCCTCCCGCCAACCTTTTCCAGATCTGCGTGTGCAAGAGAGAAATTAAATACTATGACAGAAAGTCTTTGAAGAACGACGACCCCCCTAAAATAGAGACCACCAAAAAGTTTTTTAAAAAAGGAGAAAATATGCTCAAAGACCTGAAGGCCGACTTCTAAGCCGCCGACACGCCAATCACTTTTTCAATTGGAAAACAAAAGGTAGTTTGTAGAGGGTTTAACACAGACTGGAAAAGTCGCAATGGAGTGCATTTCCGTTTACCCGTAGCGATTGAACAGTTCGAATAAGGGACATTGAACACATTTTAGATAAGCGTTTTTCGGTTTGGAGTTTTAGTCTGTGAGCTTGGAGCTCCCTCCACTTGTTTAGAAAAAAAGAGGCCAAAATAACTCGCCCCGGTTCACCTCCCACGGAGCTCAATAAAAAGTCCCACAAAAAAGATAGACATAAATATAGCTCTGACTGCAGAAATGACATCCCAAACACAATCGCTAAACAAAACAATATTTTAACTTACTAAGTGTTAACTACACAGCAGAGTGCGCCGTAGAAGTAAGGGTATGACTCAAAGGTATACAAAATAAGGGCAAATTGCATATAACTAACACAATGAACAGAATCACAGGCTAACGCCGAATATAAACAGTTTACACTTTTTTTTACTCAGAGTAGACAAAAAAAATAGATTTATTGTAGAATGCACAGGTAACATCTACCAATTTGCGTCCTGGTCGACTACAGGACACTAAAATGTCCATAAAACGCCTCTTTCTTTATGTCAGGTCTGAAGATACATGCTCAACAATTACAATTTACTACCCTGATAAGAACGTTTTGTTAAAAACATCACTAAAAGAGGCTATAACAAGTCGGATATCGTCACCACGAAGCGGCGGGGCTGTTCCATCCCCATGTGATGCATACTTGTTAATTACAATTACATATAATATATACTATGCATTACAATGTACAAACAAACATAAACAATAAAAGAATTAATCAATCAGTGCCAGTGTCTGCGCCGAGCCGGAGTGCGATGGCACGCAAGCTCGGTCCGCACCCCAGCTCCAGGCCAGAACATTTACCCCGCCCGGCCCTGCGCGCCGGCCAGCGAGCAAAACAAAAACAAAAACAAAAACCGCGGGAAGCGATGTTTGGCCCCGCGGTGCGTCGCGGTGCGTCGCGGTGCGTCGCGGTGCGGACCGGCGGGGCGCGGCCCCAGCACGGCGGCGAGGGTGTGCAAGCGACGAGCTCGCTGCCGTGCTGGGACCGTCCGTGGCGCCGTGACGACCCTCTGGCCGGCGGCAGGGCGGGCGCAACTACAGACAACAGCCTGACGCGAGGCTAGGCGCGAGGCTCGACGCGAGGCTAGACGGGCACCAGGCGCAGCAGGCTGTCCGAGTTCCAGAGGACCCTCGAGTCGTCCTCGCGCTCGCGGCAGTGTGGGAACATGGCGCCCCACGCCACCGACCCCAGCGGGGCCAGCGGCGCGCCCAGCGGGTCCGCGGCCGTGGCGCCGGGGACGGGCGCGGCCACGCCGGCCACGGGGGCGTGGTGCTGGGCGTGGTGCTGCGGCGTGCCCTGGTGGCCGTACCACACGCCGGCGCCCTCGAACGAGAAGCCCGCCGCGTGCAGCATGGCGTCCGACCAGCTCGGCGTGGCGCGCGGCGTCGCCCGCGCGCAGTCCGGCGCGGCAGTGCCCCGCGACGAGCGCGACCGCTTCACGCCGCACCGTCGTACCTGCAACAAAAGGAACAGCGCCGTCAGTCGCGGCTTCGAACAGCCGGGGGGCTTTTCAGTGGGAGGGTGACAGGTGGTCGGGGAGAAGCCACCATTACAGTAATCAGCCCTTTTTTGAGGCGGGGCCGAGCGGGCAGACCCACCCAGCCCCGGCGGTGCCGTGGCGGTGCCTGTGCGTGTCCAGGCCTCGCTGTGCCTCGCTCCGGGCCTCCCGGCCGCTCGGGATGCTGATTAGGGGCGAGAGAGAGAGAGGGAGAGGGAGAGAGGGCGTCCTTGCAATCTAAATAACTATTGCTTGTAGCAAAGGAGCAGCTAATCTCCCTCCATCTCCGCCGTGTTATCCTACAACGAAGGCGAGGCGGAGGAGACGGAAAAAACACGCACACTCGAAAGGGGGGAGAAAGGCAGAGAGAGAGAGAAACACAAACGGGGGGAATAAAAAGATGAAACACGCGCGGAGATTACGGAGTTGCAAATTCTCAATGCGCCACGCCGTGCCACGCCGCGGGTCGCAGCGCTCCGTCTCTCTCGCACCCTTCGGGGCGCCCCCCGTGAGCGCGAGAGAGACGGAGCGACGACACTGTTCGCAAGCATCCCGCTGGTCGCGGCTACGCGGCCCGGACCCACTCTGCATAACAATTTGCCCGCGCCATGCTGGCCGGGCCGCGGGCCGCTGGCCCACAGGACCTCTTGAAAGATGCCGTTCCCTACTGCAGCCAACTGCCAGGACACTGCCAGGACACTGCCGCGACTGCCAACACAACAAGTCACTTCTAGAGGCCGCCCCGAAGTGTGTGCGTCCGCTCGTCCGGGCACCGTCCGTCCGTCCGTCCGTCGTCCAGCCAGTCGGTCCGCCGCGTCACGGACGAACGTAAAAAAAGTTAGCCCTGCCGACCGGACAAATCGGGGGCCGGCCGATCGACATTTTGAGTGCCATCCCCGAGCCCATCCCCACTGGGCCTATATACCGGGAACCGGTTCGGACCGTCCTCCGCCCCGCCCCGCCCCGGCCCGGCCCGGCCGGCAGGGCCGCCTTGATAGGCTTTTGATGCTCCACTGCGTGTCGCCACTATCAAGGATTGTTATTCGTCGTCGTCGTAAGTTTTGGCGACCGCGCGGCGGGGCGGCCAGAGCGGGGCGGCCAGGGCAAGCCCATCCCGTCCGCCGCCATCCGCCCGGTTCTGGTCGTAATCTGATCCCCGGCCGGGCCGGCCAGCCGCGCCGCCGCGCTATCGAAATCCAAACCCGATCGGACGTAGTCAAACCGAGGAGACGGGCTGGAGAGAGAATAAACAGCCGGGGCCGATTTCGTTTTAAAATTGGACGAGGGGAAAAAACGGGTGGAAAAAAGTTGGGCTGCTGCACAATAAAGACAGTGGAATTGGTCGTTGGAATCAATTAGCCGTATTGGGCTTCTTGGACCAACGCTCCGGGGGTTTGGGGTTTCGTGTTCTAACTGGAACCCCGGATTGAAAACTCGTTGTGAAATCTGCACCCGCCACGCCACCACTGCCGGCAGTGGATTTGGATTTACATAGCAGGGCCTCCGCCTCGCGTTCGTGCCTGTGCATTATATTTCAGGAGTATGGCCGGCCAAGGAGGCAATTTCCCTCCTCCTTTCGGCCTTAGGGGTTGGTCGGCTCCACGCTGGCTGCGCTACGCTGCGCTGGCTGGCGGGCAGGGGGTGGCAGCCCGAAGTTCCTCGCGCACGTCGCCGAGTCCGCCGCCGAGTAGCAGCGCCGCCGTGCCGCTCGTTCCCCGGGGGGAACTTGGCCCCGACTTCCCTAAGCCGGCGAATATGCCCCGCCCGCCCGCTGGACTGGCTGCCCGGCTGTCCGGCTGGCTGGCTGCCGGTCTGTCCGGGCGTCACGTCAGAGGCCCTGGGACTGGCCTGGGCTGGTCGCCGTGCTGCCCTAATCCCGCCTGATCCCGGCCGCGCGACCCTGCAGCCCGGCAGGCCGACGGCGGTCCGAAGGCGGTCCGAAGGCCCTTCGAGGAAAGCCTCTCGGACAGCGACAAGAACGACCAGACCTCCGGTTTCGCGGCGTTGCTGTGCAGAGTAGATTGCGGTGCTGGCGGCGCCGTGGAGGCACGCCGCACGCAGCGCACGCTCCGTCTCTCTCGCACTCGCAGGGCGTGCCGGCGTGCCGCGGGGGTGCGAGAGAGACAGGGCGACTAAGTGACTCGACGTCATCGAATCGCCAACGCGGTGCCTCGGTGCGCCACGGCCCCAAGTTTCTTTTGTTCCAGACAATTGATCGAGATAGGCCGGGCCCCAGCCGAGCCCCAGCCGGGGCCCTGGGCCGGTCGGGGAAGGGGGACACTCCCGACCCCCTCGAGGGCCTCTTCAAGGGCGGCGCGCAACCATTGGCGCAGCGTGGCGCAGCACAGCTGGGGTTGTGACCAGCAGACCGATTCCGAAGAGAGCCGGAGCGTCTGTGTCGCTCTCGCGCTGCGTCCCCAAGGCCGAAGGGGTGCGAGAGGGACAGAGCAGGCGGAGGAGGGGGGGGCGATTGGATTGAAGAGACGGACTGGGCCGCGCCTTGGCCGCCTTAGCCGCGCCCTGATAGGTATGCACGCCGCACCACATCCTGCTGGCACCCCGCCGGCGTACCCCCCGCCACCGCCCCACACTGCGGGCTCGCTGTCTCTCTCGCACCCCCGCGAAACCCCCCACGCGTGCGAGAGAGACGGCGCGACACTGTTCGGAATCAGAATCACCCCGCTGCGTGCCTCTCCCCCGCGGCCATTTTGGCAGCGACCCGCGGGGCATCCGGCGGGGCATCGCGGCTGGAAGCGCGGCACGGCGCGGCGCGAAGCGTGGGCCAAAAAGGAACCAGGCACAAAGGGAGGGGTTGCGTTAGGAATCGCCTCTATTTGCGCCGCTGCGCCGCTATCGGGGCCGTCGTGAAAGGCGAGGCCGGCCGCAGGGTAGCCGCAGGGTAGCCGCAGGGTAGCCGCAGGGGGTGCAGGCATCCCTGGCGCAGGCCCCGGTCCCGCCACCCTGCCGCCCCCGGCACGGCCTGGCACGCCTTGGCACCTCCTTAAATTCTAATGCCGGCCGAAACCATTTTCATGTCGATCATGCGAGCCACTCCCAGGCGCCCAGCCTCCACGCGGGGACCGCGCCGACCCCAGTTGAGTATTTAGAGCAAGCTTATCAAGTAGATAAGCTAAAGCCAGCTCGGCAATGGTACAGACACCAAAGAGGTGCAGTGCCACTGCCTCAAATTGATTGATGTCCAGTTGGTACTGGATTTGTCACTGTCCTCTGGAATTAGACTCCTCGACTAGGAAATGGAGCCTGGTCACAAGCGAAGGTACTTAGATTATAAATCTCAGCCTGTATACGATACATACATCACTCACATAAGGATTCATAACTCTCATGGATACCGTTCAGAATCCACTATCGGAAGTATGAGGGCACTTTCTTTGAGCTAGGAGAGCCTTTTTTACTTCAGGACAAAAAGCGACACTAGCCCACCTAGCGGACAAAGCTTACAAAATCCGTCTGGAAATGAAAAATCCATCTGGATTTCTAGTAAAATCCTTGTGGAATCTCGCTATGGAAATCAGACTTCCACAGTGGAATACAATTCATTCTGGGTTACTCAACTTATGGAAAAAAAATTCCATCTGGAACCCTCATTCCGACAGCAGCTGGTATGGAATGACCCTTTCCAGCTGGAAATATAAATCCATATGATATAGAAATCCGATGGAAATAAGAAATCCAGAGGAAATTCCAGGTGGAATTAAGCTGGGCTGGGCGCGCCTTGGCCGCCTTAGCCGCGCCTGATAGGTATGCACGCCGCACCACATCTGCTGGCACCCCGCCGGCGTACCCCGCCACGCCCACACTGCGGGCTCGCTGTCTCTCCCCCCCGCGAAACCCCACGCGTGCGAGAGAGACGGCGCGACACTGTTCGGATCGAATCACCGCGCGTGCCTCTCCCCCGCGGCCATTTTGGCAGCGACCCGCGGGGCATCCGGCGGGGCATCGCGGCTGGAAGCGCGGCACGGCGCGGCGCGAAGCGTGGGCCAAAAAGGAACCAGGCACAAAGGGAGGGGTTGCGTTAGGAATCGCCTCTATTTGCGCCGCTGCGCCGCTATCGGGGCCGTCGTGAAAGGCGAGGCCGGCCGCAGGGTAGCCGCAGGGTAGCCGCAGGGGGTGCAGGCATCCCTGGCGCAGGCCCCGGTCCCGCCACCCTGCCGCCCCCGGCACGGCCTGGCACGCCTTGGCACCTCCTTAAATTCTAATGCCGGCCGAAACCATTTTCATGTCGATCATGCGAGCCACTTCCCAGGCGCCCCAGCCCTCCACGCGGGGACCGCGCCGACCGGCCGGGCCGGCGAGCGGCGGGAATAGCGGGAGCTGAGCAAGCTGAGAGCGGCGGCGGGGCGGCGGCCTATCCTCAAAAAGTTTTCCGCCCGCCCGCTTGGCTCTTATCTATGTTTCATTACCAGGGGTGGGGTGGGCGTGCACAGACAGCTGCCGCCTCCCAGGGCGCTCAGCCCCGCCCCGCGCTGGACTGCCGCGTGACCCGGCGGGCGCGGCCGCGCGGCTCGCCGAGGTCCTCGTCCCTGTCCGACTTGGCAGCGGTACTACCGGGTGCCCCCCCCCCCCCACATGCCGGCGCGACCGCGGATGACGGAGTGACTCGAGCGGGGCGCGGCGGCGCGGCTGCCAGGCGTGGCAAAACCGACACGAATGCATTTCGGACGTGACGCGACGTGACGAGACGGACGTGACGTGACGCGGAACGTGACGCGGACAGGAAAGGCGGCCGAGGCAGTGCCGTGGCCGCGCCGTGGCGTGCGCGCAAATTAATGTATGCAGCGCATCAAAGAAATCGCTGAGAAACGGGTCGGGGCTGGCAGGGAGGGACGACGACGGCGACGTGCTGGTGGTCGCTGTCTTTCATAGAAGCCACCGGGTTGCGCACTCCCGGCCGACGCGGCCTCGCCGTCGTAGAGGGTCTCACGCGCGGGGCATT